ATTCCCGCATCTCCATCTCGCTATTTTCACCAATCGTTTGCCCTCATTTCTCTTACACATTCTATATTTTAACAATAAGTTTTGTGCATATGTACATACATATATCTTTATATATGTATAACAAATGTTACCTTCACTAGTATATTCATCACTAGAATCTTCATATTCGTTGCTGCCAGTGTCAGATTGCCCGATTGTAGCATGTGGATGCGAATAGCGCAATGTCCAATTTTTAGCTAATTCAAGAGTTCCTTCAGTTGTTAGCGGTTGATCTATAGCTTCCTCAAATACTTCATTATCCTCATCAGAATCACTAAAAAAATTGATAATTTAAACAATTATAATTAAAAATTTAAATATATATATACACATATATATTGTTTTTTATAAACAAATACAAATATTAAAATACAGATATATTCTAATCAGAATTATTATATTTAAAAATAGTAAAGCTATACAAAAAGTTACAAGAATATTGTAATATATGCATATTTACCTCATATCAGAAATATCATCACTGGATCCCATTTCTGCGGTAGAAGCACCAAAATTTCTGTCTGTCCATTCATCTTCATCCATTTGACTCTGACCTTCCTCGGGATCTGATATTTCTGCTAAATTTTCAAATTCAATTCTCTCTGGAGTTTGACCACGATCAAGTAAATCGAGTCCAACAATGCCTTCTAAGGATGTTTTGGCCTTGAAAGTACGAAATATACATATATATACTTTCATATAAATGTTTACTATTTTTGGTACTTTTTCATGTTTTAAAATTTATACAAAAAGATATATAAATATCGTTTAAGTAACAGTTTTTTTGTTTTTGTTTTAATTCTATATCATTATTACAAGCTTTCTAATACCTTTTCTGATGTTTTTGATGCAGTCGCGGCATTAGGTACATTTTCTTTATTCACCAAGTTAATTCTTTTTTTTTCTGCTCTAGTTTTCATTGTTCCCGATAGTCCAAAGTGTTGCGGACAATAAAAGCGTCCTCCGTTTTTCTCCCGATCAAATGTATGATTTCCTATATAACAGTAATGATTTCGTATACAACAGTAATATCATATAAAATCAAAAAAGGTTTATAAAACATAAAAAGAGAATATTACCTATTCTTAACGAGATGGAACAATATTCACAACGGAAACAGCCGCGGTGAAAGAATTTACCTTCCGCACTGAGTCTTTCCATAAGGTAAACTCTTTTATTGCAAAAATGGCACATCTCTGAACCTCCTTGCACAGGTAATGCGATAGCAGGCTTAGTGTTCTACAAAAAAATAATTTATACAATCCGATATAATAATTATTAATGCTGCATTTTTAAGATAAAAATTATTTAAAATTTATGTACCTAATTTTATTATACGCGTATACGTACATATGTACATACGTGTGTGTATAGCACATTTTAAAAGAAGAGCTTATGAGATTTAGACGTTTATATTAATTGTTTAATATTCATTTACATATATATATTTTATTAATATTAGCATTTATAATTCATAATTTTTACGATATATTTACATTAGTTATGTTAGTAATAGTTTATATAAAAATGTTTAACATAATACACACATACTTTGATATTACAAAAATTTAATTTAAAAAGCCAACAACATTATTTCATATACCTGTATATTACAATGTACATATTTACAATCACAATCTAGTTTGTTGAGGAACTTCATTTATGTTGTAGACTATAAGATTATAAACATATTAAAATTTAACAAGAGATCAATAGAATTATCCAATGTAGACATATTTTTGGAGTATTTTGATACGTATTTTATACCAGAATTAAAAATCTTTTAGAAATGCTTTATATAAAATTGTCAATAAAAAGAAATTATAAATCCTTTAAAGAATGCGAACCTACTGTAATTTAAATCTTTTCTCTTAAAGAATTCTGCAATTAAATAAACTTCTCTTTATAAAACGGGAATGTAAGACAAAGTAAACACTGATACGCCATAAACACCAAAATTTCAATATTCCGTTTACTATTTTCCTACGAAAAGACCGTAAAGTTCGTATTTACCGATTTCTGTAACTTGGGTTCCACATCCTGATTTTTATTTGAAAATTGTTCAGCCATGGCTGAAACTTTATTGTATCCGAGCGCGCTACCTTCCTGAATCTTCTTGCCTATATTCTTCAGAGTATTATCTATATCAGCGTACTTACTGTAGGTGTCCTTTTGATCGTTGCCTCGCTTCTCCATCTTAATCTGCCGAGCTAAAAACTGAATGAAACATATACACATCTGAAAAAGTGCGAGAATGTCAGTGCTATTGAGTGTTTTTTTGCCAACCTGCTCGCGACTCCACTTCGGCACTTTTTCTACACGTTCATGGCGAACGCTGCGACCCATCTTGTTCTCTTCGATTTTTTTTTCAATTTCTTTCACGTTCCAGTCAGTTTTTTCAATTTTACCTACGTGTATATATATTTTATTACTCGACTTGTAAAGTGACGTCTACAATGAAATTAAATAGAATATTTCTCGAACAAAAAAATAAGTTAGAAATTCATAGTTCTGTCAGTTCAACAATCTCATTAAACAAGCATGTTAATCAACAAAATAGTAATATATATTTTTATTCGAAAAACAAATTTAATAACGAAAATATTAACATTTTTATTTGAAACGTAAAACTTAAACTTTAAATCTCAAACCGTAAGAAATTGATCAATCATAGTCAATTATTCTCTTCACATTAGACTGTGATTGGTCAATTTCTTACGGCTTGAGACTTAAAGTCTAAATTTTAGGTCTTAAAATCTTATTACAGATGTCGCTTAATATATTACAAAGAAAACTTGATTAATATTGAATGTATAAATAAAAGATATATACAAACCGATAGCACGTAAAAGATCTTTGGGTTTTTTCTCAGAGGATGTTGCCCCTTTCAGTTTATCTTCAAAATCTTTTATTCTTCCTGAGAATTCTTCGTCTACACTATCTCTTCGGTAACTAATGTGTATTTTAGGTTGTCTGTCCTAAGAATAATTAGCAAGTTAATAGAAATATCTTATGAGCAAGCGATTGTAGATAATTAGTATGGGTATTAACATAAACAATGCAAGCAAAAATTACGAACAACTTACAAAATACATTTTGTAAGTATTTATAAATATTTATAAATATTACAAATATTATAAATATTTCTGTTTCTTAAAAAATAATAATAATAATAACAATAAAGTAGTATTCTGAGAAAGAATTAAATAAACAGTTAACATTAAATAAACAGTTAAATTTCAAACATAGTTTTTCAAACTCAAATACAATTAATTTGTTTAAATTAAAAAGGTATAAATATAAAAATATTGTTATATTTGTATCTTTTCTACCTAATAATATTTTTCTTTCTTTAGACATGCGCCAGTTCCATATAACGTGTAAGTAAGAGTAAATAGAATATTCCTCAAAAAAAATAAGTTAGAAATTCATAGTTGTCAGTTCAACAATTTCCTTAAACAAGCATGTTAATCAACAATGATAAATAATATACGCAATTCTCAAACAAATTTAGCAACAAAAATATTAACATTTTTATTTTTTCACTGCAATCATATCAAATTATGGCGTTAGAAAATAAACCATATGTAAGTATTTTCCCTGTGTATATTTAATACGAATGCAGTAAGGCAAAAATTAATTTAGTAAAACAAAATTCATTATTCTGTCAAGTATCTTTAGAAACGTTATGCTGTTATTTCGAACATCAAAAATACAGGCCTTTCGTCAGCACATAGAAAAAAAGAACATAGTCAAACATTTGCACTCATCATTTAATTTCTAGCTTACTGGATAAAGTATTTTCTGCTCTAAGTCTTTTACTCTATCCTTGAAATCTGGTGCAGTTTGACGATATAAAAAAATCGAGTAATCCTCAAAAGGTTCATCTTTCTCGCGTTTTGCATTGGCTTGCAGCATCTGCATGCTTTTGTAGAACTGTTGAGTTGCCATCTTGCGCAAATACTGCCGCTTCTTCATGCGCTCAGTTTGATGCTTCTCAATCTCATCGAGTCTTTTCTGTCTTTCAGCCTTTATTGCGAGTTCACGATTGTCATTAGTCGCGTGATTAATTAACTATGAATGCTAATCTATCTTTTTGTGACGATTCAAGCAACGAAATGTTTCTTTGCAGCAAAGCGAATCAAATTATGCGAGAAAGCATGAAGCAGCGACAGAATGGGATATACAGTAAGTTTTTTAAAATTGTAAATCTTGTATATTCTCATTTCTAATATAGTTTCTTAAACTATTTGAAGAACAGAGTTTTTGCAAATAAAATGCAAAATTAAATTAAAAAATATTTAGAAAATATAATACAGTAAAAAAATTTTAAAGATATATGTATATTATAAAAGAATGAAATAAAAAAAACTCAATTGGTCTGTAAAGTTTCTATTTATTAGACTATACTGCTAGCATAATTCTAAATTTTATGCTATGCATAATTAACTACGTTATTGCTAATTTTAGCCGTGATTTACGCATATAAAGACAATTGAACGATTGTGTATAATGTTTCTGGCATAATCTCCTAAGAGTTTAAAGAATTTACTCAAAGTTTCATAAAATAGCAATTATATTAACAACATAAGATTGTATAAAAAATCTGACAACATAACCAATAGAACTTAGTCTCTTTTATAGAAGATTACGCGTGTTCAGTACGTGTCCGGTTCCTCTCGAAGTACGGTAAAGGTAAGTCCAACAAATACGATTAACAATGACATGAATATCCCGCGACACATAACATCTTCGATCTTCTGCCATCGTGACTACATAAGATATAATTCAATTATTTCAGCAACTTTCTAAAAGTTGCATACAGCTATAATGTTAGGTCTAATTTACTACAAAACTTTTATTTAAGGATAAAACAAATTTTTCTCTGGAAAATTGGATTTTCTATTGTATAAAAATTTGAATACTTTTTGCGAAATTGCCATTGACTTCGTCTATCTTATTATTAGTTAGATAAGCACTGGCCATTTTAAACTGTAAATAGGCGAATAATTTTTTCTACTTACCATCGTCGCGCCCACTTTCTCGGTACTCCGCCTCTTTCGAGAACGTCGGCTAACCGTATTGTCCTTTTTATCTACGTAAGAGTGTACATTTTCATTAGCATGCCGTGAGCGCGAATGCCGTGTTTTCGTAACCTTTTCCTCAGACGTCCATTGTTTTAGTTGCTTTGAATGGGCAGTGCATTCTTCCATTTCTGTTTCCTGTTAATAATGTAATAAATGGTGCTTAATTTGTTTTACGATCATTTTATATAGAAAGTATTCAATAAGTATTTTTAAAGAAATAATATTTAACTCGTGCTAATTTAAGTAAGAATCTTTAAAGAATCTCTTTTATTTCAAAAAGACTAGATTAATATATCGTCTATTTTTACTCACTAATTTTGGATGCTTAATATATGGAATCTCGCCTCTAAAAACTTCATATATTTGTGTTAAGTAAGAAAACATGGCAAGCGTGTCAGGAACATCGCATTGAATCATTTCTTCTCCTGTCATTATCTGTAAGCATAATTATTTTCTCTTATTATCTAAATAATTTCAGAAGATAATTTGATATTATCTAGATAATTAAACATAATATAATGTTATTTATACAATAAATTTTATGATACAATATATTTGTTCATTAACTGAAATAAATAGACTAACAGTTCAATAAATAAGCTAATATGCAATTATTATTATTAAAGTTTTTCTCTGTTGTATTCTGTTTTTAATCAAATCATTTACATATATAATATGATTCTTATTAAGGATCATAAAACATATATAAGTGATTTGATTGAACTGAGAACACACGCACGCACGCACATCCACAAAATTAAACAATACTGAATTACTCTAAAAATATTTTGTACATTAAAAATAAAGAAAAAATATATCCAAATTAGTGGTATTTAAGCAGAAAGATAAAAAATATAACATATTTACTGGTGGTATGTTCAATTCCTTTTCCAATATATCGAAGGCGAGTTGATTGTTCTTCACTGTATCTTTCGCGTTTAAGCTATAAAAATCTATTAAATCTGGACGGTATCTATGAACAATTGCACAAATAGCTAAACCATCTTTGAAAGAGGCACCCATATCTTCGATATGAACTTTGTCGTACAATGCAACTTGCTTTTGTAGCCAGCGAAGCAGTGTGTCTGGATGAACTTGAGTGTCAGCTCTCATATCTATATAAAAATGTTCGTTTTTCATTAAAGAATAATTATATCCAAAGATCAAGTAATTTAAATATAACAAAAAAGTTGAAAATCGCAAGTTGTAAGAATCCAAGACGTTAATATTCCAAGAATTTTAAAATTTAATACTTTAATAAACTCACCGCGACGTCTTCGTTTCTTTGGAATATCAACTTCGGATTGTATTGCAGGCTGTTTGATACTTTCAGGATCGTCTGTGTCAAGAAGACTGCGCACTTGTATCGGAGTTACAGAACGCACATTAAGATTCGGATACCTTAAAAAAAAAATACAAAAATGTATTTAATTATTTTTAAATTACTAGTATTTTAGTAAAGTAATAGACACTTAACACAAATCTTCCCTATAATCTAAATAAATAAACTGGTTTACAACTTTCTTCAAAACAATTACTATATAAAACTAAAATTATTATATAACTGACTATTTGGACAGTTACACTTTATAGACAAGACTCAAGTTTCTCCACCTTCTAGAAATTTAACACCTAAAGCTTCACACATTTATTCAATTATATTGATATCTTACCTGGTGTGAGGATCCAAAGTGTATGCAGCGTAATCTCTATTCAAATTCTCTGGTGTTGTCTGTCCCAACAACCTGTATATGGATTCACGCTCCGCAATTACTTCTAATGGAAATAACGAAGCACCCCAACCTTTGATTGCCCAGCCCGCATCCAGAGAGCTTAAAAATCCTCTCGCGCAACCAGAGCCAGTAGGCCAAAATGGCTGTAATCATTTCTCTTTTAGTTTTTCATTAAAAGTCAAATAAAATAAGAAAATAAAAATTTAATTACAAAAATCAAAGAAACGCACAAACATTAAAAAGACAATGATAAATAGATAATCTATCCACACATATATTATGTACATTATTGAATTTTTGTTTCTAAATATTTTCTGCATCTAAAAGAATGGATTTAAATAATTTCAAATGACATGATAAGTATACACAATATATATCAATTACCTCCAAGAGGCTGTCGCCTACAAGGATCATGAGCAATCTATGACCATGACGCTCCAATACGCGACTTGCATTTTCTGCCGCGTACATCGAAGTAAAGTCGAACATGGCTACATCCGGTTGGCCATAATGATTCACCGCAAATTCCATATCCATCATTTGATATTCCGTCGAAAATTCTGCCGCTTCTCGCGCGTACAACATCAAGGCTTCACGATCCACGTTTTCTTTCGCGAGTAGTTTTGCAGTGTCAGCATGATCCTAAAGATCAATAATAATTCAGTTTAATTTCCATTCTGAGAAATAATAGATATAATCTATAAATATAAAGTTGTATGTTATAATATACATATACCTGTAGAATAACTCCCTTGTCGATTAAACTATGTTTTTTGGCAGTCATAACGAAATAATGAGTGTCATCTTTATAATACACAATATTTTCCAAGTCGATACCAGTCTCTTGATACAATTCTTTAAAGAACTTTTGATTAAAGATAAAGGCGACACCACTGATCTCTTCTACGCGAGCCTCTGCCTCGGTACGTTTATTTATAAAATTTGCCGTGATTGCAATGGCTAGTTTTCCTCGAAATTCCTTGCGTTTAAAACCTTCCAGGGTATTTCTCTTACCATCAGCTCCAATTAGCACATCGAACTCGTATTGGGAGACAGGGTGGTCAGCTGGTGAAGTCTTTGCTCTCCAACCAATCTCTGACAAAAATATTAATTAAAAAACATTAGTAATAAGCAAATTATAAAGAAAATTTAAAACATTCTATCATCAATTACTACTTACTGCCATCTTCCTGATTATCCGGTGGTTGAATCAGAGAATCAAAGCTTACATTCTCGTGGAATTCAACACCAAGAATTAGAGCAACTTTTAGCAAGATACATTGCAGTTGTCGAATACTGATGTGATCTATAGAACCTGCGCAAAACTTTCCAAAAAATTTTTTCGCTCCTAATCCACGTAGATCCTGAATGACAAAAGGCCACAGATGTAAAACATTATTTCTGGACATCCGATCTCTTTTCTCCACCACAACAACTTTTGCTCCCAGTAATTGTGCTTCTATGGCTGTGCGCAGACCGCATGGGCCACCACCGATAATTAAAACCTAACGGAAGTATTTTAATTAAAAAAATTTTCTCAATAATAACTCTGGAAGGTAAAAATTAATAAATGAACCCTCGTATTACCCTCGTATTCGGGCATACTTTGCCACGATTATAGCACTTGTGATTCGCTCGTTGATCAAATTTCTTCCATAGAGCTTGCGCCTTCCACGATCGCAGTTTTGTTTTCAATTTTGGATAAAACTGATTAATGACATTCGGCCGGATTTTCAGTAATTCGCATAGTTGTCTGTAGTAGCCAAGGATAGATTTCAACGTACTGGCGTTGCAAAACTGATCGAAAATCTCGTTAGCCAACGCTGTCTCCGGTGAATTAGCCGCTTGCTTTTTACCGATCTGATCCATCGTCCTGATCCTTTGCTTTTAGTTTCACAGTAATTCATCAGTTCGTCATTATCTAAAAAGAAAAAAATGTTTTCCTTATTTTTTATCAGGACTATTTTACGTCATTAAAACTTTCATAAACCAAAGTAAGGCAAACGAAGGCAATTAAGAGCCAACGCGGTTCTCTCTCTCTCTCTCTCTCTCTCTCTCTCTCTCTCTCTCTCTCTCTCTCTGTGCATAAATAATTATTAGATTTATTCTTAGAGCCATATTTATATATTTTGTTGTTAATATAAAACGATCAATAAATTCCTATTAGAACTTTTTAATGTTTTGCTCCTAACATATTAAAATAGATAATATTAAAATAGAGTTCTAGGATGATAATTAAATACAAAAAAACATAAAAAGCTATTCTCTGTTTTCTAAAAGTATTTTTATCTCGTTTTTATTCATATCGTAACTTTAGGGGATAAAGAAATGTCCAAATAAACAATTTACACCGAGCTTTTAACAGAAAACTTGTCTGCGTAAGAGAATCATTCATCTCATTGTCGATTCCATTGAGACGTGATGACTCTCGCTTATTCACGACACGTCTTTTTGCGAACAACCGTAACACCCTGCATCGAAGGTGCCGATAGTCTACGATGTTCTTCTCCGGTTCGTTGAACTTACGGTCTGATAACTTTGTAGCTCGTCGCATGCATTCGTTCAATATTTCGCTAAGAAAAAATGGAAATGTGAAAACTTTCCCATTTCCGGAGGAAGCAAGCTCATAAATAGCTTCTAATTCTGATTCCAACTATCTATTCCAATGCAATGATAAAAAGAGAAAGAGCAATCCGAACTACATTGTTTTTGAGTACATTTTGGAATTTATTTCTGTTTGTTAAACACATCTAACTATATAACTATATTGAATATACTATTCCAAACAATCAGGACATATTTTATGAAACATTTTTTCGTATGTAATTAACACTAGAACTGTGGCTGTGAAATTTTGTACTTATCTAATAGTTTTTCTTTTTAATTTGGATTTACACGTGGAGCTTTAGATTTGTGTGACTTTTCAATTTTAAATAATCATAATTAATTATAAGTACTCTTTTAATTTTATGGTGACCTTCTCTCGCAAGAAGCTAGATTTTCCTTGAATCGCGATATAATTAATTTATACCCGTGGTTCTAATGTTAACAACATAATTATTATGAGATAACTTTTAGGTAAACTAGTTTAAGATTAAATGTTTGGAGCGAAAAAATTCGTTTTTGAGCAAAAAATTAGTGAAAAAGAGCATTAACTTTTTCATGAACTGCGAATTTGATTCGCAATGATGGTGATCCAGGATAATGGGAACAGTTGAAGAATAAATATGTCCTTAAAATTTTTAATCTGTTCATTTTTTAAATTGACATTAAAATTTAAATCAAAAACATGATGTTAATATCTATTTACTAAGAAAATATTCTTGTGTATATAAAAGCATCTGACTGATTCGTCACTGAACTTTAATTTTTTTATAAGAAAAAAGAATAAGGACTCTCTAATGCAGATAATTAGTCACTGAAAATAAAAATGCTTTGTCATATATCATTTTCATAATCATCATTTTTTTTATTAACATTAAAATTTAAATCAAAACATGATGCTATTTACTTAAGAAAATATTCTTGTGTGTATAAAAACATCTGATTTATTTTCATTTTTTTATAAGAAAACAGAACAAGGACTCTCTAATGTAGTTAATTAACCACTGAAAATAAAAATGCTTTGTCATACATATCATTTTCATGATACCAAGTTTCATTGTTAACAGATAATTATAAAAATAGTACATGACAAAGTGTTTTTATTAGCAATAGTTTATATTAAGAATGAATCAACTAAATCGGTTGGAGATACTATTCACTGTGCATTATTATTTTTAAATATACCACCATATACTTATTATTATACATTGAAAACTGCTGTAGCATAATCCGGATGTTTGGAGCTTTCAATGTGTTACTATTTGATACTACATTTCTAGTTATAAATAATTCTGGAAGAAACATAATCTTAAAAAAATAAAACAGAAAAGAATCATCAAAATAATGAATAAATAAATGTTTCAGATGATATAGGTACATTTTACTTTTACAAACAGAATGATAAAGAAAGTATATTGCTCAGAAAAATCATATGATTTATATATATATGTATATAAAGATAGGGGGTGACTCACATCTGGCAAGCGACTCCATCTAGAACAAAGTCACTGTGATATAAGATATTTTTTTCTGAACAGAACTTAGTTTTGATTCGATGTATTTTGGATATTAACTTTTATTGTTATTATTATAATATTCAAATAATGGTTTCAATAATTTAATGTCTTTTTAATAACAGATTCTTTGGCTAATTTCAAGATTTTCTTAGCAAACTTGTCAGAGTAAATTTTATTATTCATCTGTAGAAACGTTTAAATTCGTGATTTTATATATCCTCATAGCACGCTAAGTCATAAATTAAAATTCTATCAAAATAGAATATCTAAAATTACCTGAAAAATTATACATTCGATTCCTCAAAGTAATTTGCAAAAAGCTCGGCGTTTTCAATCGCTTGTAACTCGAAAACTATTGTTGTATATACATTTTGGTGACATATTTTGGCAAAAATTTGTTCTAATCATTATTATTATTATTGGAGAAACATTCAGGCACATTTCGAGGCAACCTACATATAATTTTACACATATACATATACTGTGATATATTTAATTCGATGACGATACGTAATAGGTATATCGGAATCTTGTGTATGTATAAATAAACTTACTCTCGTGTGTGCCCATATCAACCCACATACAAGATACTCTCTGGATGCGTACACATAGTGAGTCTGCAATCTGCATCTACATATGCACCCACGTCACGTCATGCGTGCTTTAAGGAATACAGCAAGAGATGTGCGTGCTGTGTACGTACTTGTATGAAGAGCTGGCTGCGTCACGGTGCGATACGCTGCAATCTGCATACAGTGCATATAATCGTGTGACGATACGTCGGGACTGCGCTCTCGTGGTATTCCTGCAGCACAGCGTGCTCTCTCGTATAATCTCTACCTTTTTATAGCTCGCGTTCACATCGCACAAAACACACACGCCGACGAAGGAGGGTGGGCGAAGCAAGACAGAAGTAAGAAAAGACGGAGGGCTTCGGGTGTGACGCTCTTACTGACGCTCACTCACGCACCATCGACGAAACCCCATCCCCATCGTCCGCACAATGCAATACTCCTGCACCGCGCTGCACGACGTCTAGTCGACCTATTTCCACTTGGTTCAGCTGGATGATGAACTGGATCGCGAATATCGCGATGCAATTCACCACGACTGACAGCGCTGACGGCAGTGACGGCCACTGACGGCGTGACGACGACCAACGACGACGCAGATCCACCGTTGACCATTCCCTGCGAGTCTTGCGCAGTTCCGCGACCATCTGCGACTTACGACTAGTCTGGACCTGGACTAGTCTGCAGCCTGACTGATCAAGCCTGACTCACCCTGACTCGACTGTGCAGAATGTACTATTCATACTAAAGCTAAAATGAACTAAAGTACATCGAGTCACAACACTCAGGACTAGAGTCCTATATTCTACTCAGGACTAGTAGGGTTGATAAGTCATGATAAGCTCTTGTAACTCGTGACTCGCGAAATATCGCGACAAAACGAGACCAGCGAGTGGCGATCACGCGCTAAACGTCAGTCGCTGATAACCTACGATAGCTATATTCCAAAATTTACTGCCAGACTGAAAATCTATAGTACACGTGACGTAACCTATAGATTATCGATATAGTCGAATTAAATATCTACAAATACTTCAAAGCATTTTTTGATTGGTCAGTTAATAAAATTCTTTCTTCCAATTGATCATCAAAAGTGGTCACAGAAACTCGAAGCATTTGTAGCGTCAAATGGATACTGAATGTGATTGGCTGAATTTGTAACAACCTATCATGTTCATTTATTCGTTTCTCGAAGTCGAACGTATCTATTTTTCTGAGCACTCCAGTCACCTCGTCATTGTCATTTAATACGTATGTGTTTGTAAATACTCTGGAAATTTGACTGAAATAGAAGAAATTATTTGATAAATTATGCCAAAAGTAGTGTCGAGGAGCATTATATGCTCCGATACGAAAGATCAAGAAGAATACAGCGAGGAGAAACCGTTGCACATTTATTATTGTATATGTGGCCAGATGACGCTAATTTTAGGTTAGAATTATTATATTTATTGATTTCTAAAAAGTAATTTGTAGTGTAAAATATAGCTTATTTGGGTGTAGAATTAAATTTAATTTTAGACTACATTATTTGAATATTGTAAAAAATATCTTGTAAAATAATTTTTTTTCAAGTATGGTACTTAAATTAATATCAAAATTTATTTGTAATTTAACAACTTATGTTTCATTAATGTTAAAAAAATAGAACTATAAAATTTGGCACACAGTTTAGATAATTACATATTATGTAAATTCACATAAAAATAATTAAGCAATTAAGATCTAACTTTGACCATTATAGACATTATCCTTTACTTGGTGTGTATTTACATTATATGGTCTTAATAAATAATTTATTATTGTTGAAATTATAAAACATTTCTTAATGTTTGTATACATTTTGTGATTATTTATAATTCTAAATTTATATATATATGATATAAAACTAGCTTCTCTATGTTCTTTTATATCATATAAGTTTAGAATTATAATTAAAGCCGTTTACATTACAATTATACATTTATTTATAGATTGTGCCATTGAAAAATTACCTTTAAGAAAAAGAGATGGAGCAAGGGTAATTGATGGTAGTAAGCATGCCCATAAAATGACTTCGGAACGTGACGAAGTTGTATTTCTGAAGCGGCCAGAGGGAATCGAAAAACAATATAGACAAAAGTGTAAAAAGTAATATACTTGCATTTATATATTATATTCGTTATTCACAAGTGCATTGAAAATATATTTATGGCTTTTACTAATTATTTTGAATACATTAATGATAAAATTTTGGTACAAAAATATTGAAAAAATATTTTTCAAGAACGAGAGTATTTAATACATTGTATATTTTGATATAATTAAAATATGTTTTGCAGATGTGGCTTATTGCTATATTATAAGCATGATCCAGGAGCAAATATAGTATTTATAGTAAAAGATTCAGTAATAAAAAGTTCTGGGGAAGGCCCTATGACAGACATTTATAATCAAGTAGCTATTGAGAAACCTAAAAAAATAATGGTTACAAAGCATACCAAAAATATGGGCAAATTCAGTTCAGTTACTGTATCCACAATCGATGAAGAAGAAGATGAAATAGAAGCTGTAAGTCAATTGCATTTTTATATGTAGTTTATAGTTTATGATATAATATTCAGAAAAGTTAAGCAAGTATTATAGTAACTGTGACAAGAGAAATGTTAAAATTTTTATCTTAGTTACTTAAAATATAATATAAACTTTATCTGTTTGCCTATCATTTGAGTTTGTGATGTATTTTTTTTTATTCAATCTATATATATTCTTTTTTTATAATAAAGCTTTTGTTTTAAAAAATAATTGCAACTTTTCAGAGAGAAGTCGCTGACTCCTACGCGAACAATGCACGTATCATAGAAAAACAATTGGAGAGAAAAGGTATGAATAAACGAAAGACCATACCATCCACTGAAACAGATTCAAAGCGAGCAAGACCTAGAGGAACGTTGTTGGATGTTTGATTTCCTATCAGGAACTAATTGTAATTATGTATATTAATTTACTGTCTTATAGTTAATAGATTAATTTTCTTACATATTATTATGCTTAGACAAAAAGATTGCAAAACTTTCAATAAATTTCAGAATGTGTAAATATTACAATCTTATATTTATCGAAAAAGTTGTAACCTTTCTCTTCACATTACTATATATATTTTTCATAAAAATCATTTGTCTTTTGCACCTATACATTCAGTGCTGACTCAAATCTTTGAATATGCTCTGCTTCACAGATACATATATTTTTCGCAATTAATTTATTACAAGTTTTTAAGATTAAAGAACGACTGCAAAAAAGGTGCTGTCTATTTTTCAGTCCTCGATTTTGAAATCGAATTTTACGTCAAATGATACGATATTACGCTCATGATGAGACATTAATCACAATGAAGTTTTACGTTGAGCATGTGATTAATTTTAGAAATGTAGAACGCCAAAGGAGTCACTAACTATTAAGAAAATATGACACTAACAACGTTTTATAGCACAAATATTTGTTGAAAGTCGATACCTATGGGTTCTTTAAGTTATTAATTATAAATCTCTGATGTTAGATTTTCCAAATTCAAAATGGCGGATATAATATATAAATAAAATGATATAATATGTAATATAATATATTTAATATGTGTGTACTTATATATTATATTTATACATTATTTAATTTTATATATACCTATATATATTAATGAATACTTTTTTTCACTAAGAAATGCTTTCATTGATTGCTCTCCAAAATGTGATAGAAAATTCGTAATGAGCAAGTCTAAAAGGACTGCAACGTAACAGAAATGAATAATTGTTTTAGTATTTGTCGGCAATATTATATCTACGCGCGCGCTATCTTGAATTTTTATAATCTAACCAGAGTTCTAGCATCATGGACACAGCCTTAGTGTCACATTTTCTTAGTAGTTAGTCACCTCTTTGATGCTTCATATTTCTGAAATCAATCTCATACTCAACGTAAAACTTTTTTGTAATTAATGTCCCATCATAAGTTATCACTTAACATAAAATTCGATTCCAAAATCGAGAACCGAAAAACAGGCATTTTTTGTAGTCATTCTTTAGGGGGATTATTAATATTTCAGATGAATATATTGCATTGGAAGTCCGATGGTAACGACACGCAATTATAATTCTGAAATAAATTCATTAAAAAAATATGTATATGTGTTAGTTCAACATCTAACTTTGACCGTAGTGGCGCTTCTCAGATTTAGATGATGTACTTATATAAACGTCTTATTTCCCATCTTATTATTGTTCACATACATATTTTATTGGATTTACATGATTTATTGGAGCCTGAATTAAATAGTTTTTAATAATAATAAACATTTAATTTTATATTGATATATTTATTAACATTACACAAAAAAGTAAATCTTTAAAATATACAAATGACTAGATACAAATATTGCATAAAAATGTTGCAAAATAGAAATAGAAATTTAACAAATAAATATATCAGTTACATACAACTCATCGATTGATAAATAACTGCAAGCAAAAAAAACCACATTTTTTTGCTTGCATTCGGAATTAGTTCATACAATGGCAACTTCAATTAGTAATAATTAAACAGCATATAATAAATTATTATTTGGTTATTATGAAGTAATTTGAATTGATATGGCATTTTTACGTCGTAAGATGGAAGAGCTATCTAAATATAATTCTGTCACTGGCCACGTTTTTTATCTATAGATTATGAGATGCTGCATGTGCAGTTCTACCAGACATTAATGTGGTGTATACATATAATCAAAATTTTGTTCATTAAGTACATATGTATCCATTCATAATCTTTTTATCTGCTGCTACGAGAGAAAGTATTTTGTGTCTGTGTGTGTGTATGATATCTTCCACTTACTCTAATTGTGCAAGTAATCCAAGAAAAGTGCAGCTCAGTTACAGTTTTTGTTTTGGTGGACAAACTTTTCCTGGAAAATTCTTTAAAGATTATTTTTATATAATCTTTTCTGGCTTTATACATACACACACGCACACATGCACACGCGCACACACACATACTACATATATACATGTGTATTGTGTATATTTATATATATATATATATATGTATGTACGTGTGTATATATATATCTATAAAAACAAATATTTTTTACATCTTTTTCGAGGATAATATATATTATACTTCATTTCTTAAAATGAGATTTTATAATGAGATCTGCATTATCATGTTGTTAGAAAAGCAGGAAATATGAAACATTATTTATTTAAAATTGTTCTATCATTTAAATAATCGATTCTAACATCATGACATATATATGTGTATGTATAATCGTAGTATATACTTAACTATTTTCTATTTAACTTAATAAATGCAGCTCAAATGTATTTTTTTAACGATCTCAAGCTCTCAAATTACGTTTCTCTATCTTACATATAATACGATTCCTCTGTTGGAATTATCACGTTCGCAATTACTAGCGACAGTCCTCCATTAATCACGATTTATTACGCATATTTAATGCATTATTGACATATTTTTTTTTTTAATTAAATATATAAGCTAAATGGAATTATATAAAGAATATATAAAAGGATCAACATATTTAATAATAATAATTGTAGGTATG